GGACATTAACGAGTTGGTTTGCTTAGTAATATCTCTAGAATGACATCAGCCAGCTGTTTCCTTATCATTTTCCGGTAGAAAAAACAATAAAATATCCAAAAAAAATAGGAAAAATCTCGTGTTTTTTTTTGTGGCCCGGCGGTAGTATAATCCACCATAAGCTTTAGCCGTCTAGCCCCAACTTGCACCACTGTCATCTGCAAGATTCCTGGAAAACTTTGGACAAGTCTATACGGTATTGCAAAATGTACACCCCCCCCCCCCCCGCCCCCTTTCTCCGATAGTGCCCATTTGGCCACTTTACTTACTTCGAGCACCCCATTAAAACCATATTTTAAACAGCAGTGAATTCATGCATGAAAGAAACAAATCATTGTCTGATATAATACTCCCAAAAATATTATTAACATCTGTTCAAGTTCATTAGACTAATTAATGAATAGAAAGAACTTGCCTATTTTCAGGAATAAAGGTCGGCAGGCTGAACTTAGCAGCTCACTAGATTCTACTGCAAACATACACAGAAGAGAATGGTTTTAGTAGCTCCACCTCCGGCTCCACCTCCAGCAGCTAAATAGGAAGAAACACTGTCCCGGGGATGGGCAGTAAAACTCAAGTCGGCTTCTGCAGATATCGCAAAAAGGCATTCCTTTGTAATAATAGTTGAAGACCAGTTGTATAGAATGCACTTGTAATATTCACATCGGTGCTATAGCTGAACCCCCCCCCCCCCCCCCCCCAATCCTTTCTTTGTACCCGACTAGAAGATCATCCGATCGCTTGGAATCCATATAAAAAGGCGACATAATACTGTCTTATGTAAATATGACAAGGCAGTGATTGATTGAGCTAGCTTATTGAGGCTCATGTCATTTACATGTCTGTTATATCCGTTTCTCTATTATCTGAGAAAGTGCTGATTTCTATATTTTATTCATTGTTTGATAATCATCTACGACATCGACAAAAATCACGTTATTTGGATTATGTCAAGAATGTACTCTGTACGCTTTATTCAGAATAGTATTTTGTTATCACCTTTAGACCATCTACTGCTTGTGAAGCTATTTATAAGTAGTTCACCTCCCATACTATATTGTTGGCTCTTTAGAAAATATGAAAATCATCAATGGGTTCTAGAGTGTATTATTTGGGCAATTCCAAGCTCTTTTGTCGTATACGTTATCGACCACATGAGATACTTTTGTATACATTCATGGTCTAAGCCCGTCGCACAATATCATGCTTTATCAACTACGATTTGGTTTTGGAAGAAAAGCATTTGATACGAACAAACCTGTAAAATCATAATTACCAAACAAGAATCTTAACAGTTATATGATGAAAACAACATAAATTTCAAAGGATTCAGGCCTCCTTGGAAGAGGAGACGCTAAATCGGC